TGAGAATGAAAATTTCATCGCTATTTTTGGGTTAGTTTTTAATTACATAGAATTTGAGTTGATTAAAAGATTTTCAATGCGATTAAGAAATGGAGAGTGAATAAGCCGAATGATGACCTGAATCTTCAACCATTTTCCGCACCAGCATCGTGGAGATGAACATTATCCTTTACATTGAACTGTTAGGTTAGAACATGAATGAAATAATAATAATCTTATTGATCGATGGCGAGTGACAATTAGATTCAATCAATTCTTTTATTTGTAAAGTTTTTCAGGTTAATCAATATCGACATCAAGGTTAATAGGATCTAAGAATTTACAAGAACTTTTGAATATCTCAGTAATCTATTCATCTTAATATTATCAGTTTGTTGGTAAATATAAATGATGAGATGAATGAAACTAACAATTTTCATTTGATCTCAATCTTTGTCTTATTTCATTGACCTTTTCCGTGTCCCAGGTAATTTCTTGTACCATGTTACTGATTATGTCATTTTCAACAGCTCATCAATCTTACAGACAGTATTTTCATCTTCTTTTATTATCATCATCAAATCTAGATAATGATAAGTAAATGATGCAGATGAAAGAGAAGAAGAAAATGAAAAAGAAGAAGAAGAAGATGCTGATGATGATGATGATGATGATGATGAGCATAATATAAGATTGATGATGGAATAATAATGTTAAATATTGACCACAAAGAACACAAGACAATCATCATCATTTTCATCATCAGTATTACCACCTCTGTGTTCATCATCTTTATATCATCATCATATTCTCATGATCATCAGTATGAAGATGATCATACGTTCATGTTGTATCAGTATTAATATATTAACTGAGCTCTCCTAGTTTTTCCTCCTTCAGCTTCTGAAATCCAAGAATAAGATGAAGAGAAAAATTATTCTATTTGTTTCTCTTCATTATCATCCTAATCTTTACTTTGATTTTATTATCATTCGGGTGATGATCATCAATACATGTATCTGAGATTTTCCAATGAGCACATTCTAGTACAAGGATAAACACTCAAATTTTACAAACGATGAATGCATTATAATCTCAATGCATTTGAATCAATATTATTATAAGATTGAATCTTGATTATCATCATCATGCACACATGATAAAGTAGATTGAATGTGATTAGATTGGTGATTTGTGGCCCATCAACACATTAACAACAATATGATCGGTAAAAAAGATACACGAATGGAAGTGAAAATTCAATAAGATGATTGATATTCTTACATTGATAATATTTTATTGTACCAATATAAAAATTTAAATTACTGTTGATGGTTTAAATTCGTACACGAATGATCAACGGAAACAGTTTAATAATGAAATTTTCTCTATTTTCATCTTTGCTAATAGGTGGTAATTGTAATAGTTAACTATTAGTCTGAATGATCAGTGTTTTATAAAGATGCATTAATGAATATCAATCACTAATTAATACTCTTTGCGTGTTGTTGATGATTGAGCTTGGAAAGCAAAAGTATGATGTTGACACTGATGAAGATAAATGATTATAATCTGATAGTTAATTAGATTTTATTTATTGTATTAATAAGTAAATATCTGAACACTTCAACTGAGATAATCTAAAGGTGATAATGTTTTCTTACATGTTTATTTTTGATGATGATGAGAATGAGAATGAAAATGATTAACTGGATCATGTTGATTGTTTGTTGATTAAGATAACAAATTGAAAGGTAATTTATCAATCAAGATGATGAAACATTTTGATTTAAAATGTTTCATTTCTATTAAGATGTACAATTAAGCTTTCGATGTAAAACTTAAAGTTGTTTATCTTGATAATGATGAGATGTTTATATATTTGTATTTGTTTATCATGGAAATGATGATTATGATGTTGATGAGGATGATGAATGAATGAATGAAAATAATGATTGAGAATTAAATTGTTTCTCCTTTAATTTGGAATGATTATTGTTATTGATTTAGTTTGATGGTTTAAATTGTTATCATTTATTTGAGTACTGATGTAGGTGATGGAGAAAGGAAGGAAGACAAATGAGAGAGAAGGTGAGGTGAGTGAGTGAGTGAGCTAAGAGGGTGAGAGCGAGAGAGATAGTTGGCCAGAAAGAAAGAGAAGGTTAATGAAAAGATAAATCAATTCAATTTGGTTCCAGAAGTTATATCATCCTAATTCTCATCTTCACCTTCATCATCATGTAATCAATGATAAATAACAATGGAAAACGAGATGATGATAATGAAGATGAAGAAGAAAAAGTAAATTGATGTTAACTGATAAATTGAATCATCACCATCATTGTGAAAGAAACAGCAGAAAGAAAGAAAATAAATATGATTCTATCATTTTTTGTTCTACTCTTTGAAATGTTCTGAATCTTTACCTAATAAAATGAAAAAGATAATTTTCATTAATTCGATTTCTAAGAATCAATTTAATCGATTTCTTATCACATGTAATGAAGATAATGAGAAGCACAATAATGAGAATGGTGATGATGAAAATGATGAAGATGATGATATGATAAGATGAAGATTATAATAAGAAGATGATTAAAATAAATTCCGTTAGAAAATCACAGGAATAAAAACGAAGAGATTAAGATGAAAGTGAAAGAGATGATGATTATATGGAGTGGAAAAGAGACAAAACTAAATAAATGAAAATATTGTCGTTAAGATTTGACTCTAATCCCTTAAGGATTTAGAAGATTCATCAACATTTGACTTTCATGTTGTTTTTTAATGTAACATCTTCTTCATCTTCATCTTTACCCTCATCCTCATCTTTATCTTCATCCTCTTCTCATAATCATCATCACAATCATTTCTCTCTGTTACTCTTTCTCCTAATCATTATCATCTCTCAATCAATATCATTATTTACTTGAAGCTTTGGTGTAAAGATGAGCCAGATGAAGATGGAGAAGAAGAGGAAATATACCTAAAAAAGTGAGAACATGATAAATAGAAAGTAGAGAGAGAGAAAGAAAGAAAGGAAGAGAGAGAGAGAGAGAGTGAATTAGTGAGAGAGAGGCAGAGATGAAGATGAAGATGAGAAAATGATGATGAGATAAATGATATAGGGCTCGATTCCTTTGGCTCATCATTTCAGTGCCTATACCATGTACTTTATACGCTATCACATGAAAGTATAATAACCGATCCTGTATCTGAGTTGAATACAATGAAATGATGACCAACATGATGAACAAAAATAGAAGACGAAAGGGAAAGGGAAAGAGAAAGAGAAGGAGAAGGAGAAGGAGAAGGAAAAGGAGAAGGAGAAGAGAAGATGAGATGAGATGAAGATAATAATGAAGATAATAATAATGCCAAACATGTAATTTTCTTCCACAAAATGAGAATCACATGTCTACAAATATAAAAGATGATAAAATAATTTACTCTCATTTCATTCAATTCCAATTCCAATTCAATGTTTATCATCATCATTTTCATGATAAATTCTTGTTGATACTCAAGTGAACTAAAAACTAAAAATAAACAAACGATCAAATCTTCGTTTTCATCTTAAATGAGTAATATGATAATCATTATGAATAATCATCATCAATAAGAACAGAATCCTTTTCTTTAATAAGAATAATGTCTGAATAATAGAGAGGAAAAGAAAGAGAGAAATTCAATCAATGAGTTAAAATTATCAGTCTATTTGATAACATTGAAGTTTTATCTTGTTTCAATTTTGTTTCATTTAGAATTCATGATAACATTTCTGATTCATTTCAAATTTAGATTATTGATTGAATATTATGAAAAAGAGAAAGAAATAAAACAGAGAGAGAGAGAGAAATGATGAAGAATAACATGATTTTTAGATCAACTCACTGAAAGAAGTTCAACTCAATCAATTGATTGGAATGAATCAGTTGAATTTATTTCTAATAGAATCAAGATGAAGATAAAGATAAAGATGGAAAACGAAAAAGGAAAAAGGAAATGACATATTTGTTCATTGATGGTAAAGAAAAAAAGGAAAGAAAAAGAAGATGATGCGAAATGATCATGAGTAAAAGATGATGGAAAACTCGAGGTTGGGCAACTAATCGATAAGTTGAGTCTTTTCGACCAATGAGAGTTCATGTTGCCCCCTCTCGAAAGATGAAAAGAATAAAATAAAACCAATGATAACCTTCATTCATCTTCATTCATCTTCCCAAATGATACCAGAGATTGATGATAATACGTATTACATGTTATCTTTCATCATCATCTTAATCTCATATCTCACATGAGAATCACATGAATCTGTTTCAATGAGAATCATCATTATTGTTATTATATAGTTTACATGATAACCTATAATAGAAATGATTAAATCTAAATCGGAATGATCAAGAGATGATAAAGATAATTGATAATCTTTGTGACAATCGATATCCTCATCATCCATTCATTTAGAAGATGCATTGATTTTTACGCTTCTATTCAATTCCATTCAATTTCATCTTGTTGATATTCCAGAGGATCCACCTTAATTTACCACCTCTATCATCTCTCTCTCTCTCTCTCTCTCTCTCTCTCTCTCTCTCTTTTCACCTCCTATTTCTCTTCTTCATCCTTATCCTCATCCCGATTCTCATTCTCTATCTTCATCTTGGTCTTGCTTTTCATCCTCAAATTACACACACAGAGATTTAAAGTCTTTTATGTGACTGATAATCATCATGATAATAAAGATAATGATTGTGATTTGATTTGACAAATGGTAAAGTTGTCATATCGACTTTTGATGTGATGATGATGATTATGATGATGATGATGATGGAAGATGAATAAATAAATGAGTAAATGAATGAATGAAGATAAAGAAGAGAAAATTTGTAACCCAATGGGATCGATTATGAATAACAATGTGAACACTGTTATTATTCACACTTGTAGTAACCTCTAAATTGTGACAACATCAACACCCCAATAATCATCGTGTCTCGTAAATGACAACAATCAACTCGTAAAGTTACAAATGAGTTTATTGTATTTGTCCATTCGATTGTTGTTATCATGTTGTGAGTCTCTTTCAATTGCGACATGTTTATCATCTTCTCTTCTGGTTCCTCTTTATGTGCAGTATGTTTGGTGTGTGTCTTTTTCTCCTTTTCTTCTTATCCCCTTCTTATCATCTTCCATCGTCCATCGTCCATACTTATTTTCGACAGTTATTCGGCTTCACAGGTAACGCTTTTACCTATTATGATGAAGAGAAATAAAGATTATGATAAATATAAATGAATACGAATACGAATAGAGGGATAAATAGAGAGATGAACAGAGCAGAATAGAATAGAATATTAAATGAGAAGATGATGAGAGATGATGAGAGATGATAATGAGGCACAACGGAGTAAATGAAGCTTACAAAGTCACACATTAGTGTAAATTGTAATCATAATGTTAGTATATTAAATTACGAGTAAATGAAAAGACCAAGAAAAGCTCAAGTTCATTGTTGGTAAATTGTTGTAATCAAATGATTACAACTGAGTGTTGATCATGTTTATGGTCAACGTCATCTCGCTCAGTGTGATATCAGGTCAATATTATGACGATCCAATTAATGGTTAGTTTATGGTGACATAAACAACCAACATCTTCATCTTCATCTTCATCACTCTCATCTTGCTCATCATCATCACCTCAGGTAAATGCAGATCAACATGTTATTGTATTGGAATCAATTGAGAGACTCAAGTGTCTTTATAATCACAATTTCAATGTTTGCTTTTTCTATAATAAGAATAACAAGAAAATAGAAAAGATTGAGAAGATAATGATGAAGATGAAGATGAAGATGGAGATGGAGAGATGAAATGATAAAGATCTAGATTTATCTTCTCTTCTCTTTCCAGAAGAAAAAGAAAGAGATGAGAGATGAGAAAGGAGAAGGAGAAATGAAAGGTTGTCATCTATTTTTCTTCAATCACAACATCATCATAATCATTAACACGATTTTTATCCTTAGAAAAGAAAGAAAAGAGAGGAAAGAGAAGATAATGATGATGGAAATGATGATGATGCTTATTTTGGTTTCTTTTTGTGACATACTTGAAGAAAAAGTTGGCAAAGAACAACAATATTATTGGTATTTGATGGAACCCAAACTAATCAATAATTAGTCTTCAATTTCATAGTTACTATTCAAGAACCATCATGATTGTTATTGTGATCAAACTGAAGATGAAGATGAAGATGAAGATGAAGATGATGATCAGTGAGCGAGAGGTTAAAGGTGTAAAATTAAGCTCCATGATTGTGGCGATAATCATGTTGAGCTACTTCACGATTTTAAGTGTTTCTTCAACAAGAACAACATTAAATCTCTTCAATTACTCCAACAACTTATTCTCCTCTAAATGTTGTTAACATAAAAACAACTTTTTCTTTTTGTTATTCTTTACTTTTTATTAACTTGATGAACCACAATATTTTTTATTCTTTTATTTTCTTCATCTTTTTCATCTCAATTTCATTCGTTGGTGTTTCCAGTTTACTCTTTATCTTTTCTCCTCCTTTATCATCCTCACCCTCATCTTCATCTTCATCTTCATTTTATCTCTATCATAATCATCATTATTACGAGTGTTCCCTTTTATTGTAATCAATTGATTGACCATCGTTTATGTTCACGCCTTTGATTGTTTTCATGTTTCATTTGAGAAAAAGTTGTAAAACAATTGATCACAAAATGAATTGGAAAAGGTGACAAGATGATGATGATTATGATCACGGTGATAAAATGATTCGTAAGATTAGGTTACAATGATGTAGACGATTAAATAATAAAAGTGAAGTAAAAAAGAGCAATCAAAAAGTATTGGGTAGAAATTCAATAAATCATCAAATTAACTTTACGATTTAAGGTTAACCTTTCATTTGAAAGGTTGAAACCATAAACATTATTATCAACACAATTAACGTAAACATCTTAAATGTAATAACAATCAGATTAAATCATTAAGATAAGTAAGACATTTTTACTTTCATTTCCGTTTTGTTTCTCATCTTTATTTTATCGTTTTTTTTCATTGTTTTTGTTGCTGTTAAAATCTAAACAGTTGATTAACATAATTAAATGTTCTTACTTCAATGGTAACAATTTATGAAAAGAAAACAACAATTAGTTGATCAGATTGATTGGGAAACCAATAGACTCACTGTTTGTTCAATTCTCATCACAACTGTGATCAGATTTCATGTTAATTCATTTGAATTAATCTTCAAGAATCAAAAATAACAAAACGGATTAGGAAGTATTAATAAGGGTGAAGATGAGGATGAGGATGAAATGAGATAAAGATGAAGATGAAGATGAAGAAGATGAAGTTGTCATTGAAGAGTATGAACCAAGTGATGAAGATGAAGGATTAGAAAAAAAGCTGATGGAATCAAAGTGAATTGTTTACAAAAAGAATTAAGAAATTCAATTGGAGACAATTTAATGTTCACTTGTAGTAAGTAAACAAGAAAATAACTACAATTACAATTTAGTTTCCTTTTATCAACACACAGAGACACAACTTTATCATCTCTCATCTCTCACATCTTCATCTTCATCTTTATCCTCATCCTGATCTTCATCAAGAGTTGACTTACAGTATAATCCATGTTTCATTATCATAATGACCATGAACTGGTTACCAAATAAAGGATTGTCTTTACCATCCACATCTTCGTCCTCGTCTTCATCTTCATCTGCATCTTGTCATCAGTTGATTAACTATTTGAATATCTACTCAGTTTGAATGAACTCAATTCTTTCCGTGGATCAATCAACATTTCATTGATTATTCAGATTCTGTGGTTACAATGAACATGAAAATCGATAAAGTGAAAAAAGAAAGAGTCAAAATGATGAATGAAAATGTTGTCATAATATTGAGAGTTTGTGGATCGGATTATTAATGAGAACAAATTTTCATAATATTCAAATGTAATGTTACTATTTGATAAGATTCATGGTTCTTAGTCAAGGTTTCACTTGAATCTGTGCTCAGTTATCATGTTTACTCACCAATTAAGGTTATTTAATATTATTTACATATGTGAATGTAACAATTGATAATCCAACCAAAGTAATCAAAGAGTTAATCCTTGTACCATGAAATCGCTTGTTTAGTATTCACATTAAACTAATCAAAATCTATTGTGGATTAAAAAACAAGAATTGGAAAAAGGAATCAAATTAATTGATCATCATGTCCAATATTTCACATGGACAATTTGATTGGGTAAAGTTTCCAATCTCATTTTGTTCATTTCATATAATTAGTCATGATTGTTATTCAAAAAGTTGAAAATGAATCGATTGATTGATTGATTGATTTGTTGGTTGGTTAATTTAATTCCCATGATAAATTGAAACAAATTTGAATATAATAATGCAACAAATTATCACCTTAATTCAAGTAATTGCAATGATTGAAAGATACAAAAAAATCATCAAGTTAATAATAACAACAAGAAAAAAGTTTCTCCAGGTAAACTGAATCAACTCTAATTGTAAACAAGTTATAACAATTATCTTTTCACATAACAAGTACTATTCATATTAATAATATCATCATGTTGTTACTTGAAAAGCTAATCATCCAATATTTTAGATGATGACGATAATGATCAAGATGATGAAGATGATGAAGATGATAGAAAATAAAAATAATCCAATACAAATGAAATAATAATAAACGAATCGTATTGATAAATGTACAATATTTGTACACAAATGAACAAATTGAGTAACATTATAATAGATTAAATTCAAACAATTGAATTCAATTGATTGCAATCAATCAAAGAAACTCAACAACAATTACAGACTAATTAGATTTACTCTTGATTATAATCAATCTTATACGTTGTGGATCTATTATGTTAATAAAATCATTTACATTATCATCGAATCTTCACCATCATCATCATCATCATCATCTTATCTTCTTCTTTTCATCTTCTTTTCATCATTTGACTTTAGAAAGATTTTCTTGCTTCTTTTGTCATAACAATTCAATGTTTCATCCAATAGTTGTTTCCATATGTTAAATGAATCAATGATCAAAATGATGATGATGATTAAGTTTGTACAGGTAACATAAAAAATATTATTACACAAATGAAGATGAAGATAAGAATCAGTTAATCTGGAAATGTATCTCAAGGAGGAAGATGAATATGTGTGTGTGTTCATTGTGTCCACAGGGGAGGCCCTCATCTCCCATTGAGATGTTTTCAGATTAAGACTCAAGGTTATAAGAATTACATATTTCTTTCTGTTCGTAGGAACATAAAAACTAAACTAAAACTCGAAAAGTACAACAACGTAAGTCGCAAGTGAACATAATTTAAAGATTGGTGAAAATTTCATGCATCATTAGGCCGAAATAGGAATATCTTTACTCTTTCTCCTTTTATCTTTATCTTTGCATCTCTATCAGATTAGTAAATAATAGTGAGTATTGGATAGAGAAAGAAGGAGGAAGAAGAAGAAAGAAGAAGGAAGAAGTAAAAAAAGAACAGAAGAAAAAAGTAAATAAAAGAAAAGATGAAAATGATGAGGATGAGGATGAAGAAGATAAAGACACAGGTAGAGAGTAAAAGAGAGCAAAGGAAACAATAAGGAAGAGGAATAAGTTTATTAAGAGTAAAGAGGAAGATGGAAAAAGACAAAAAGACTTAATCTTTACCTTGACTTGTCCATTTGAACCAAAGTATTATCATTGTTGTTATTGGTGTAGGAGGAAGATGAGGTGATGATAATGATCAACAGGATGATATTTAGTTGGTTCGTTTGTACACAATTTGCTTGTTAATTATCATCGATATTACAACAATCACCTTGAAAGAGATTTAGATATTTATATACTCGAACACTGATTGAGTCTGTTCAGGGTCATCGTTTTATCTTATTCATCATCTCTACTTGTCCAGTTGCTCTCGTTGTTCTGTTGGTCATCTTGTTAACCCCTTGTCCTTTTCCTTTTCCTCTCCTTTCCTTTCCTGGCTTTTGTTGTCCATTTGAAGGGCTTAAGAGTTACTTTGTTACAAATAATCACAGGGTGATAATGAACTAGTCCAGGCTCTAAATGGATGGTAAATGGTTTTTGGCTTCATTTGATTGACCAGAACACAATCATCATCTAATGTAACCCTAAAGAAAGAAACAAAATACTTTTGGTTAGTCAATTTTGTACACAAACAATTGTTTCACTTTCTCCTTCATCTCTCCACCAATAATCAACATACAATTGAGGGAGAGAGAGAGAGAGAGAGAAGGAAAAGGTGAGTAAATTACAATAATATCCCGAGAATAAATAAACAAAACATAAGAATTATAAAAGAAAAGAAAAAAGAAAATAGTCCCAGATGAAGAGTAGAAACTCACCTTTGATATAGAGAAAAAATAACAGAGAAATGAAGGAGAAAAACATGGAAAGCGGATTAACAGAAGAGACGAAGAAAAAGAAAATGATCAATATTGTTTATCTTGGATAATAATCAGTTCTTATTGAAGATAATTTGACAAAATAATGACCACAAATTAGACAATAAATAAACAACAAATTATAAAAAGAAACCAAATCACAATTAATGTTCACCAGGAAAATGAAGGAAACAAAACAATTAGAATAAGAAAAAAATTCATTTATGTTTACATTTTTTCTATTTCCTTAAATTAACACCAGAGGGCGTTCGTTGTTGGAAATTAATTATTTCGGTTGGGAGATTAACTCTTAACTTGTAATTACTTTTTGGCAACAATTAAACGGTAATGACACATAAAAAGGAGAGAATTTAATTGAATTGTAAACTAGAAAAAAAAATTTTCGATTTGAATAGTATGGGAAATGATAAAAGATTTAATAATAGATTTGATTATGTTTTTTTTCGTGTTAATTTAATTTTCTATTGAATGTAAATTAAATTGGTAACAACTTTTGATCATCTTCAATGGTTATTGATCATCACAATGATGATAGATTATCTTCTGGGTGTGAAAATAACAGAAAAATGTATTAACATGAAAATCTTTCAACTGGGAGTGAATTTTATTTCTCAACATGAGATGAAATTTCAATCTAATTTTATGGTAAACATTGTGTTCAGTTTCCAAGTCAGAGGAAGATGAACATGAACATGAAAGAGAAGAAGAAGAAGAAGAAGAAGAAGAAAAGGAGGATGATGATAAATGATGATAATGGACAAGGATTGATGTAAATACTCAACTTACAGGTTACCGGATGATATTTATCTTCCTTTCCCCTTCGCACCCCAATGAAGATAATGAGGATGATGGAAACAAAAAGCTTTTTAGAGAAAGAGAAGGGAAGAGAGAGAGAGAGAAAAGAGAGAGAGAGAGAAACTGTTTCTCTTTGAGATTCATTGGAAATATGAAGAATATATAATGAGACTATGAGAAGATTAACAGATGACTCTCTTTGGATGAGGAACAAGATGAATGAAGATAAAGGGGAAAAACGAAAAAGATATGAAATTATTTCACCTTTAAAAGCATTTCTACCTTTTCTCTTCCTCATCTTCTTCCTCCAACAAACTAATGATACTTTTAGATGATCAACATTTTACATTGAAAACACTGATTCCAAATATAAAGTTACCTTTATAATCATCAGAGTATTTGTTATGCTAACCTTATATTTCACTTATCATCATCTCTCTTTTCTTGGTCTCCCCTTCATCTTCATCTTCATCAGCATCATTATTTGAAGATAATGATTATGATTATCAAATTCCCATGTTGATGTTGATCATCATAATCATTTGTAAGTAATTAGGATCAGGATTCTGATAGAATATGAAAACTTGGTCTTTATCTTTTCCATTTTTCTATCAAAATATTGACTCAACCACAAAGTACAAATATCTTCATGTACTTTGTGTCTTCCTCATCATCTTCATCTCGTCCTCATCCTTATCCTTATCCTTATCCTTTTTTCCGTGTGATTGTAACCATATTTTGATTTATTCTTATATTTCATAATCTGATATGTGACATGGTTCATATTGTCATTTTGATCTTCGTCATTATCTTGATCAACCTTTTCATCACAAAATCATCTCCTTGAAGATTATCTTCTTCATCTTCATCATTATCCTTGTCTCTTCTTTCTTGTCAACATAAGATTCAATTGCAATAATAATTTAATCTCAATTGAATATTGAATAAGATTCATCAGGTTTGATGTTCAATGGTTACAATTATCAGAATGAAATGTGAGATAATCATCATTATCATCCTTATTGTCATCTTGATAATCTTGATCATCGTCATCTTCATCTCCTTAGCATTTGTCCTAATCCTTTACATACAAAATGCTTTTATGTGGACAGGAAATATTCATTAACAGTTATACTCATGATTATGGTGAAAACAGATTAACAATTAATCAGTGAACAGTTTCAAAGGAATGTAAATATTAGAGATGATGATAAATTATTATCTCTTTTGATTAATCATCTTCATCAAATAGAAAATCATATCTGTTGTTATAATAAAGTAAAAGCATCAAACTGATCCGATTAAGTTTGATGATAATGATGAAGATGAAGATGGAGATGAAGACAAAGATGATGATGATGAAGATGAAGATGGAGATGAAAATGAAGATGTAATTGTAAAAAGATTTCAATCAAAGATTATGATTAATATTTTGTTCAATTGATTGTATTAAGTTTTTATTGTTGTTTGAAAATAAACTTAAAAGTGTCTATTGTTATTATCTTCAATTAATGTAATATAATAAACAACTTGGAGAGTTAATAGTTTACAGATTAACTGACCACTCGCCATCTTATTATTATTTACAAGCTTATCCATCAATTCAATTGACACCAATATCACGGCCTCTTTTGCCTTCATCTTATATGATCGTCGACTAATGAACATGTTTAACTGGTCATTTTCTGCCTCAATTAATCTTCAAGAAACTGACCTATTGATTTTTCTGTATTTCATTGAGTTGATCACGAAGAAAGAGAGATGATGATGATGATGAACAAATAAGATTGAAGATGATAAAATATGATCAAGATGAAGATACAGATGAAGATGAAGATGCTGAGAGGAAGGAAGGAAGTAAAGTAGAGTAACAAGAGTGAGAAATAAGATGATAAGGATGATGAAGATTCTGAAGATGAAGATGAAGACGAAGACGAAGATGATTAGAGTATTAAATGTAATGAGTTTGACAGGTTCTTTGCTCAACTGTTATCATTATTTTCACTCAACTTGTCAATTGAATGGAACGAGAAAAAAGAGATTGAATAAACTTCACTCTTACCTTTGACCTCTCCCATTTGTTGGACATTGAAGAAAATGCCAATGTGTTTATTTCAACCAAACGAAATGAATGTTTTATTTTCATTTGTCACCAAAGATTAACATCAAAGATAAACAATCAAAATATGAGAATCATCATCAGATACTAAGAGATAAAGAGAGAGGAAAATCTCTTCTTTGGTTTTGTCTTTCTCTCAATTTGTTTGCGACTCATCTTCATCTTCATCCTCATCCTCATCTTTTTCCTCTTCTCTCACACTTTCTCTTCATCACTTGAATTGAATGAAAAGACTTGATAGTTTATCATCTTCATCATTTATTGTTACTGTTTAATAATAACATTGATTTGAGTCTTTTTTTTTCTCACTCAAACCATTGGATCTAAGAGATTAGTGGCTTAACACAAAACGGAAGTAACACTCAACTTTTTTATCTTCATCTTTTCGTGGTAAAGACTTTCACTCTTTTTTGATGGACGTGTTAAAGTGGAGATGATAATGATGATGATGAGGGAGGAAGAGGAAATGATGAGTTAACATTAGAATGATACTTAAGCTTATTCCTCAAATGATCAGCTCACGAGTGAAATTTTCTCTCCTTCAAGTTTGACATGAGGAAAACTACTTGCAAACAATTTATCACAATTACTTATCGCAATTAAAAAAAAACTCAAACAATTTAATTGATTGGAGAAAAAAAAATTAATCAAACTCTATGTTAACTTGCAAACTCACCAAAAGGTGGCACTAAATGTTTACAATGAAACTTTTACAAGAAAAAAAAGTTTTACAAAATTTTAAAGGTTCTCATCATTGATCATTAAGTTCATGATGGAATCTGAATAACCAACTGAAAGGAAATGAAAATCAATTGTTTAAATAGAGAAAAAATAATCATAATCTTTTTCTATTGGAGAAATAGAAACAAAATGACAAAAGTTCACCGATTTGAAACAAATTCTCGAATTTTTTTCTTCTCGAAATTAGAACTTGAAAATTTCAACTGATCAACAATCAACTTAATTACCATTGAAAATAAAAAGGTATCATTATGATTAAGTAATTATGATTAATGTAATTCCAATTGATAAACCATAAGAGACACACCCAAACAATTACCTAATATCAAAACCAAATAATCAACTAATATTATGATTACATTTTGTATACTTTAAATGATAATATGATCAAATCAATTGTCACCAAGAATCAAGGATGAAAAACAAAAAGCCCTAAGGCAATAATTCTGAGAGTATCAATCAATTGATAATATAAATATCACAGTAAAGATATTGAATTGATATGAAACCAAAATGAGATCAATTGATTGTTATCCATTAATCAATTGATTAACCATTTCGGTGATGAAGAAAAAAATAATAATCGAGATAATTTTGTAATTTAATCCAATCCGTTGATCGAAACAACAGTTTGAATCAATGTTTTTCCATGGAAAATGCTTATCACCATTTACCGTTAATCTTAACTAGATGAATACCCATCTGATGTGTAGCATGCTGATGATAATACATTAACCATGTAAAAGGAAAAATGATAAAGATGAAGATGAAGATGAAGATGAAGATGAAGATGAAGATAAGGAAGACAAAAGAGAGAGAGAGAGAGAAAGAAAATTATTTCTTTTTCATTTTCTATTAATATATTATTATTACTCTTAATATTGTGATTATTATTTCAAGCTCATATTTTTTACCATCATACCCTCAGGCAATCATCATCATCTTATTGAACCTCATCATACCCACCAAATAATAACAATCACTTCATCTGATAACTTTATATATATTCATCATCATCACCAAAGTATATTATTAATATATTATGATGATGATGATAAATTGTTATCACCTTTATATCACTTACCATGTAAAATGTCAAGGGTATTATTATAATGAATGGAAAGTGCTGATTGTTAAAACTATCCTCATCTTCATCATTATTACTACATATCGTTTATTTTTATGTATGTTGATTGTTATTGATTTTTTTTTCTTCGTCATCTCGAACTTGTAGAAAAAAAAAGTTCTATTCTTTCATGTTTTTCTATTATCTAAATGTTTTCCTTATATATAAACCACTTCGAGACACTAGATTTTGTTGGATTATGATTAAGCTGATAATGGATTAAGTGTCAATGTTTTGATAACAATAAGAAAACATAATGATAGAAACACCAAGAGCAATCGTATATATTGAATATAATATGTATTACAAATCGTTGTAATCGTCGTAATGTTCAAGTGTCCAATTTTGTGTACAATTGAATTGATGCCCCGAAGTCGAGTGGTCCAAATGTTTTTAAAGGGATCAATGATAATG